ATATTGTTGTTCTTGTTATTGGGTGCTATCGAGTCAGCTGAATCCTGTCCTATCCTGTGTCATCCTCATCATCTTTGATATACTTGAGCTCATTGCTGCAGTCACCGTATCAATCCCCCTTGTTGAAATCTTCAAACATTTAAAATAGCCAAAATTTTGTAACTTGGTGGAAAAGTTTCTATTATGGTTCTTGTTTAGTGCCATCAAGTTTAGCACAACTCATAGTGACCCTATGAGTGACAGATCTGAACAACCCTATTCTATCCTGTGCCACCCTCCCAATATTTGACACCCTGGAGCCCATCGCTGTAGTACTGTGCCAGTCCATCTGGTTGAGGGTCTTCTTCACATTTTCAGTGTCTCCACCTTTCCAACATGATGTCGCTGTCCAAGGAATAGCCTCTCCCAGCAGCATGCCCAAAGTATGCAAGATGAAGCTTCCCGATTGTTGCCTCCAAGGAGCACTCTGGTTTCACCTACTCCAAGATATAACTTGGGGATATGTAAACTAACATTGGTGCTTTTTTGCACAATTGTGGTTTATTTAATAACAGAACAACCAACAGTAAGGAAATCAAACTTCCTATGTTGAGCCCAAGTATATTCTTTCCATCTGTCCCAACGCTTTACTTGTAAAGTTAGGATCCAGCAGGAAATTGAGGGCTCGCAAAATGGTAGACTGTAGAGAATCAAAAGAAGTTTTTAGTGGATTGATAGCTTGCTTTCTTCAGCCGCTCTGTGTAATTGAGTAGTAGCATTTATTTTTGCATGGGTGCATACATTTGTTTTGCTTTATGGAATTTATTCATGATGTCAAGGCAATGAAGTTTATCCTGGTGTAGACCTGATAGTATTTCCTTCCATGTTCATCCATAGACCTTGCTTCTAATTCTTTGACAAGTCACCTTACATGAAAGGGGTCAAACCTCAAAGAGTATATAAATGAATTGGTGCCAAATCTGTCAGTAACTCATTGCCTTGGAGTTAGAATAGGCCCACACCTGACCCTTTATTGAGCTTCCAAGGCTGCAAAGCATCATGTCTTTCTCCTGTGGAGATTTGAGCCATCAGAGAGGTGTGATTTTTTTGATTAGCAGCCCAACTCCCTATGGATGAGGCCACCAGAGCTCCCCGATCACTCCCTCCTCATTGCTGACTCATAGCTGATCTTCCTCAGGTTTTCAAAGCTGAAATATTGTGGGCAGGTTGGGATTTTTTTACCAAAAACATATTTTATGTTAGTTGCAGACCAGCCAAACATACGGTATTCATATGAGAACAGTATGTGTTTAATTATTATCGTTGTTGTTGTTAGGTGTTGTTGAGTCGTAGAGGACTCATAGCAACCCTATGAACAAAAGGCCTGGGCACTGTTCGTGCAAGCCATTTCAGAAGTGGATGTGGCTCCTGCTTCCAGGCTTGATTTAGTCAGGAAGCTCCAGCAAACACTGTCCACCATGGGTGCCCATTACCACATTTGGCACATCAGTGTCCCAGTAGTCAGCATCACAGCAACCACGAGTTACCTCTGAACAGCAATGCACAGACCAGTGCTATACCACCTAGAAGAATGTTTGACAGGAAAACAATTTGAACCCAGCCTGAGCGCCGCAGATGAAAATCACCCACCTTTGGCTTGGTAGCATAACTTTCTGTCCATTAGGCCAACGTAGCTCTCTCTATGTCACAGTTGTTACAGCTACAGTAATATTATGTGTTGCTGAATATTAGAACTAAAATGGATTAACATAGCCAAGTCGGGGAAGACCCTCTATGAGGTGGATTGATTCAGTGACTGGGGTAATCGGGATGGATGTGTCAGAGGCAGTGAGATTGGCAAAGGACAGAGCGGAGTTTAGGGCTGTTGTACATAGGGTCGCTATGAGTCGCAAGCGACTCGATGGCACATAAGAACAAAAACAACAACAGTCATTGGCAGATTTGAACTTCCAGAGAGACACCGCTTTTGTGTTAGCAGTACTCCCTACAGACTGTGCCCCCAGAGCTGAGTTACAAACACATATACTAGTCATTGAAAACCTTAATATTTTTTAGAGTAGAACTAGAATTTATTCATACTCAATTGAAAACATTATAACATTTGAAAAATCAAGTGTGTTCATTTGTAAAGAATGAACAAGAGTAATTTGAATAGTACTAGACTTTTCCACATTGTGTAACATGATCCAGCATCAGTTTAAAAAATATTCTTCTGTAATTAATTAAGATGTGACTTAGCAGAGCCTTTTGTCTATTTAGGGAGTTCTTTTGGCACATGCTGTAGGGAATTGCACTACCGACCCAAAGGTGTGCATTTCAACTCTGGAGTCCACCATCTACTCCACAGCAGAAAAATGGACGGTCCCTTCTGGCGCGATTTACAAATTCTGAAAACTCCACCAGCACTGAAGCTGCCCTGGCTCAACAGTAATGAGAGTGACAGTCTAACTTATGTAGTGCTATATATCCTACTCATAAGCAGAACTGAATTTTTATTTATGCATTCTGATGAATCTATTTTTGTGGTATTTTACCAAGATAGGAAGTGAAATCAAATGGATGTTGGTGAGTACCCCATGGGAGCAGTTACTGCATTGCGTTCATTCAGAGTGAGCTATAACTTGGAAGCCTTCTGTAGGTAAGAAAGTTCTGTAGCTTCAAAAGAAAATGATCCTTTTTTTTTTTTTTAATGATCATGTGTATTTAGGCTGGCATGTTTGTGAAAGTTTTAAGATAAGTGAAGATCAAGTTAGCTGACAGGCTAAAATATATGTCACTTAATTTACATAGCTATAAAATTAAACTTTCAGTTTATGATTTGTGGATGAGTTTTATACTCTGACAATTAATGTATAATTAATTATACATTATTATATAATAAGAAAGAGGAAGTTAGGAAAATACTATTTTAAATAAAACTGTTCTTTTCTTAAAATTGCTATTTTAGTACCCCGTTAGTTACTTAGGATGATTCTGCTATTGGTGAATTGATAACAATTATACTATAAATGTTAATAAATTATTCAATGTTCTAAGATACAATATATAGCAAATACTTTTGTTTAGAATGACAAGGCAGTTTTATAACCTGGCATTTGGATATAGTTTTTGTTTCATTTTTGTCTTTACTGCTTTTTTACTAAACAATTATATTAGGGGTAATTAAAAAAAAACCTAGTGAAATTTTAGCTATCCATTTTTTTGTTGTTGTCTAGTAAAACTCTAACAATGAAAATGTCTGAATGTTCTACACTTCTGAGTTTAGAAATCATTGTCTGTCACTGCCTTTCCTGTGCCATAATTTTTCATTTTAGGGAATTAGAATTATATAGATCAAACTCTTTAAAGGTATTATATATTTTGAATTATTAGTAGTCTGCAGATTTATATAGTCTACATTAAATTTCTAGACAAGTTCCATGTTTATAACTCTTTTAATCAAACTAAAATGTATCATAACTTTTTTGTCAGAGCTTTGCATTTCTGTTTTCAAACCTTAAATATGACCTTTGTTCAGTGACCATTATATGTCAGTCCTGCTTCTGGGATCCAACCTTTTGTTATGGCTAAGAATTATTTACATCATACAGTGAATAACAAGACAAAACCTATTTACATATTAAATAAATATTATATTACATTTAAGGGTATGTGTCAATTACAAGACTAAGTTTTCCATAAATATATATATATATATTCTGGTCAATTCCAACTTATAGGATTTCCAAGGTTGTAATCTTTTTGAAAGGTTTATTTTTTCCCCCCTCCTGAGGAACAACTGGTGGTTTTCAACCAACAGCTTTTCACTTAGTAGTCAAGTACTTAATCATTGTTTCACCAGAAATCATCCTTTTAAGGATGAAAGAAATAGTAAACAATCAAAGTAAAATAGGATTCAGAATCATTTTGCCTATCAATTAATTGTATCCTTAAAATTATTTTGGATTTTATGGGGGAAATTAATATAAGATGACAGTATATGCTTGAATCTATCCCAGCCTCAAATTTGTTGAAACTTGGTTTCATCTCAGGCTGAGTATTCCTGGAGATTCATCCTTTCTTTTTTTAAGGTAGAATGCTAATTCCATTGCTATTTTATTTTGGCCAGTGAGGATCAGATGTGTTGTTCACTCAAGAGACTCTTTCCCTGTCATTTGCCTTTTAAAAAAAAATTATAGATTGCCCCCTCCTTCTCCAGCAGAGCATCTGGTGGATTTGTACCGCGTACCTCTGGGATTGTAGTGCAGCGTCTTGCCACTGTGTCATTTGCCTTCTCTAGAGCTCTTGTGTCCTGGGAATAATCTGAAAATTACTACATTTAAATTTTCAATAATTGTTCTTTTGATTTAAATCTTGAAAATGGCCCAGAGAAACTAATTTGGCAGTTTAATATAAACACAAAAATGAAAATATTAATTGAACACTTACTGTGTTCTGTTACTTCTAAGCATTTATATCCTCACAACAACCTTATAGGTACTACTATTATCCCTGCTTTACAGTGGATACAGCTAAGGCTGAGATTAATTTTCCTCAGGTAAGATTTGTCCAGACCTATGCTTTTAATTTTGGTTTATCATCTGCTTACATGCCTAGGAATTCTTAGCACAATTGCAATGTGCTGCTTCTACTTCTGTTTTTGTGAAGGAAATAGGAAGGATATCATACTAACCAGGAATAAATCTAAAACATGCACTGCCTCTTTGGCATTTACTCTTGGAAGCTGCTTCCGAAGCACACACCCTCATCAGATGTCATTTTCTTATTGTTTCACTTCAGACTATCCTGACTTCAATCATAGCATTTACCCAGTTGACTATAAGCTCTTTGGGAACTGATTTACTCTTATTTCTCTCCACTCTAAGCCTATAGCAGTGCTTACATTATAGTGGACATTTCTATTACATAGATCTTCCTGTGTTCTAATGTTACTTTTCTCTACAAACAGAACACAATTATTTGTTGGAAATATGGGAAAGAAAGCAAACAAGTTGTTTTACTGTTTGCAGAATGAAGAGGAACAGTTTATCTGCTGTGAATAAAATTGCCCAGTCTTCACCAGCAGTGAAACAGCCAAAGTTTGGATTCTACTCTTCTCTCAACCCTCTCAACCAGACTCATACGCTCACAGTTCTTCTTGACTGGGGGAGTTTGCCTCACCATGTCGTATTACGCATTTTTCAGTATCTTCCTCTGATAGATCGGGCCCGTGCTTCGTCCGTGTGTAGAAGATGGAATGAAGTTTTTCATATTCCTGACCTTTGGAGAAAGTTTGAATTTGAATTGAACCAGTCCGCTACTTCATACTTCAAGTCGACTCATCCTGATCTCATTCAGCAGATAATTAAAAAGCATGCTGCTCATCTACAGTATGTTAGCTTTAAGGTAAGAAAAAGGATTCAGTAGAAACAGCTTCTCATATTTTGGCCCCACCATTTTTGTATAATTAAATTTTCATGTTGATGAAGTAAATAAAATGTGCCATTTTTTCCAACCATTTCCTTTATTTTCCTTTAGTTATTTGCATAAACTTAGACTTTAGTTTCTTTCCTCTTCATGCTAATTGTCTTGTAATGCTTTCTCTCAAGCAGCAAAACCAGTAAAATGCGCAGACATGGTTCTTCTAGGTATGTTCTATATGTTAGTCAACAGGTGGAATATTCCTATGCCCTGAGATGTTTAGCTAAGAGAATTAAAAGACTGGAAGACTTTTGGAGGATGTTCATATTTCTATTCTGAAGGCTGAATATTGCTATACTGATTGGTTAGATCCCAACATGTTTGTTGAGGCAGACTGATTTAATCACTTAAAACTATCTCTCGACCAGTTTTTGACCAAAAACTGGGCATCATAGCCTAGCCAAGTAGACATATTGAATCATACAAACATTGACAGTTTGGGTCTATGTAAGGTAAACATTTGAAAGTAGAAGTGCTTCTTGTTGCTCTGAGGTACTGTTGAATCAGTTCCAACTTACAGTGACCATATGTGTGGACAGCGTGGTCCTGTCCTGTCACCAGTCATTGTTAGTTTGTAGGCTTGCTTGAGCCCATTGGTGCAACTACTGTAACACTCCATCTCTTTGAGGGTCTTCTTACCCACTGACCCTTCTCCTCTACCAGGCATTAGGTCCTTCTGCAGGAACTAGCCCTTCCAGGTAACCTGACCAAAGTATGTGAGATGAATTCTTGAAATCTTTGCTTTCAAGGAGCATTTCCACTGTACTTCTTCCAATATAGACTTGTTCATTTTTCTGGAAATCGGATATATATGGATAACCAGTCTTTGAAAAATATATTTATCCATTAAGTAGGGGGAAAGACTGCCTCTTTAACAAATGGAGCTGACAGAACAGTGTTGTTGTTGTTGTTGTTGTTTGATGCCGTCGAGTCGTAGATGACTCATAGCTACCCTATGAACGAACAGCCTGAGCACTGTTCGTACATAGAGTTTCTGGAGGCAAGCCATTTTGGAAGTGGATGCCGCTCCTGCTTCCAGGCTTGATTTAGTCGGGAAGCTCCAGCCAACACTGTCCACCATGAAAGAAGACCCATATGTCATATC